ACTTCTATGATTATTTGTCCATAATAGGAGGTAGAAGTCCATTATTCCTCAGGTCATGCTCGTGTTTCTTCTCCCGAATTGCCAAATGAATTCCGATTGACTTGAAACTTGCACATTTGCTTCAATTTACATGCTAGGACCTGAAATACGACAAAACAAGACAACCTAGCGTAAAATAGGCCAAGGAACCACATATTCGAGCTAAAATGGTCAGGAAACAAGAGTGCAAACATGTGCAAATACGACGTTATCAGTTCTGCTTCAATCTTCTCGTCGACGTCACTGCCATCCGAATTTTGTTCGTCGTTGATGAGATATTGGCCGCCTCTGATGATCAACGTCTTCAGATTGTGGCATTGATTCGATTTATACCCTCGACCATGACATTTAAAGCATTGGATCCCCCAACTTCGCTCGAGAGGGGCCGAATTCGTGTTCCTGGGAGCCAATTTTCCAAGTTCAGGTCACAATTGCTGGGGATTGGTGTTAGCGACTGGCTCTACTGTTTCTTGACCTTGATGGCAAGGTGAAGAGCCTCCTCCAGGTCCACAAATGATCGCAATTCAACCTCCTGTTGTATGTCACGATTCAAGACATGGAGGAAATGAGCGATCATGGCTTCCCGATCCTCCCCGACGTCGGCACGCATCATCAACAATTCAGGCTCCCTGAAAAATTCTTCCACGCCTCAAGCTCCTTGGAGAATTCCTTGAAAGGATACATAAAGTTATCGTTGATAGTTGGCAGGAACAAACCTATCTCTCATCAATCCTCGAAATTCCTCCCACGTCGCCACCGGATTCTGCTGATTTTGCTGCCGGCGACGTTGTAGTTATTCCCACCATTGGGCAGCATAATCTGTGAATTAAAAAGTGGCCAGTGCCACATTCTGGGGCTCATTGAAGTGGCACACTAGAAGAAGAGCATGATCTTCCTCTCGTAGTATAAAAATGTCGAGGGGTTCAGCGTCCCCGGAAACGACGGGATGACAAGTTTGACGCCGAAGGCACTGCCTGCTCCGCTTCTTGCTTCCGCTCGCATCGTTTGCGAAACAGACGTTCTTGCTGGGGTTCAGCAATAACCAGCCGTCGTTCTAACTCAATAATCCTGTCCAGCAACTCCGGATTGCCAGCTTGATTGCTTCGCCAAGTACTTCCCCTTGTCGGACCCTGTTTCCGGTCGAGCGATGACATCGATTCTTTAATCCAGTTGTTATCTGAATTGGCCCAATCTCGTGTCAATCCGTCGCATCAGCTCATTCTATATCAACTTGTTGACCCGCCATTGCTTGATTTTCAATTTGGGGTTTGAATTCAAGCACAACGTTTTCCTCTGGTTTCTCCTGTGGAAGAGCAGGGTCTTGTGAGACAGGCCCCTTCGACCTAGTCCAAGGCGTCGCTCCGGCCACGCCCTCTCCGTTTTGTCCACTGTGTAGAACCAAGGCTCTGATGCCATTTGATAACCACCTGGATAGGAGGTTTGAATCAGAGATGCTTAGCAACGATTCAATCGAATATTGAATCCCAACTTCTGGGGCTAAGAACACAAACAGGGGGTTTGGGTTCGTGTTTGGGTGGTGACTTTCGTGCAACTTTCTCGTAGGGAAAGAGGGTCGAAGACTTAGGGTAGAGGCTTGGCCACGCACAGGGTGATTACCTGGACGATAGAAGCTCAAGATCGAGCCTAGAAAACCCTAGGACGATCTCCAATTTCCATAGACAAAAGGCTATGGCCACCAAACTCTTGGTTTATTCGATTGAATCCCAAAAATTGACTATTACATAAAAAACGTGAGTTTAAATAGGCTAACTAAACTTACAATGCAAGTAATTAACATCCTAAACAAGTTACAACTCAAAAAGGAAAACAAATCCTACTCCGAAAGGGTAATTAATCAAACTGGTCACTAATCCTAATCCGAATAGGACTCGGATTACTTGTTCTTCCAGGCAGCAACTTCAGTATCGACACGAACTTTAGCCTCCTCTTTCGAGCTCTTCCAAGCATCAATCTGATCACCCAATTCCACGTCGGTGTAGTAGAAACTACGTACTTTCATGTGGTAGGAACCTTGAAGCTCGACTCTTGATGGATTCCTTCAAATGAGTCTCCAAAAGTACCTTCATGAAAACCCTTCCTGCCTTAGCCGATTTAATTTATGGCAGTTTCTTGGTTTCATCATAGGTTTTTGGTAAGCTTCAAAAACAATCTTCCTGGCTTCCCTTGAGCTCCCAAATAACCGGGCTTGTAGATAAACTTCCCAGCTTCAAAACAAGACGCCAAACATCCATTTCCATCGAGCCATTTGGGAGGAACATGCTTGAGAATGTGGCTACCTGAAACAGTGAAATGACTTAACCAATTTTCAGGGCTCTGGCCATAGCTTGATATAACTTCTTGAACAAGCAATGGTTACTTGTAGAGGAGGCCATATGGGATCATATCACCCGTGCTTTGATGACTCAGCAGTTTGAACCCATGACCTTGAAGTGTAAGATGCAAGCCGTTTATGCCCTAGACTGCTAAAACCATGCTATTTTGGAAGGACGGAGTATAAAAGCCAAATTTTGAATGAATAACCTCGCCATGGTGATCTTTATTCCTTCTTTTCTTGTGATTTCTTTTGTATGCATTGATAGCTATTATACTTTATGAACTATGTAGAACCCTAGGATGATGGTTTTCTGTGTATGGGATTGATTTTGAGATTGATGGATTGATTAATGTTATGTGATTGTTTTCGTATAAATATGGTTACTCATATAATTGAATTTATTTTCTCATGTATTGATAGCTTCGAATATGTTTTATGGTTTGGATGAGACTAGAAAAGGCAATCTCATCACAATTGAGCTACCCCGACTCCTCAAGAGAGAACTTTATAGGACCTATCGTAGTCTGTTATATCTTACCATCGTTAGACATATGGTAGGGTGAAATTGCATCCATAATTGAACAATTCACCTGGTACAGAAATCCATCAAAATCAAGGGGAAGCCTAATCTGAATGGTCATCTTTAATCTCGCTTAAGTTCCATTTGAATAGTTAATGCTTTTCATTGCTTGATTTAGTTTTTTCTATTCACTCCTAGTTTAGTATTTTCACATAGATTAGGTTGCGGCTTTTGGTTTTGAGTGATAGACCGATTAGGACCATCAAGCAAATATGATCTAAGTAACCTTCATCTACTAATTTAAATTTGCCACTATCTTACAATGGATCAGTCATGTGATGCTTATGCTATTCGTATTCCTTAGCTTTGTGATGCCCTAACCATTCGATGCATATTCATCTATTATGTGCATATTCATCTATTCATCTATGGTATTGCTTATAATATCATGTTAAGTTGTCAGGAAACTACTATTATGTGATATGTCATTATCTAATGTGTGTATGATGTGTAATGATCAACCAACCATGCATGATTAAGTTCAATGTATAGATGAATATAGTAGTATACTATGATGTGGAAAGATAAACCAACCTTAGATCATCAACAATCTAGATGATACTAAGCACAATGCATATAATAGTAAGCTATAGAGTCATAAGCATCGATGATAAGAAAGTATTGAACTAAATGAGCATCGATAACAAACACATAGGCACCAAAACATAAATCATCAATGCATACACATAGGGAATCAAAAATCACAAGCATCAACACAAAACATAATATGAAACCATAACACCAATACATACAACGATAAATAAGTTCATATTCTCATACAATCAATTTCGAACTAGCTATACATAGAAGAGAAGGAGGGTATCATCATCGATGATGAAGGCATCCTTAGTTGCATCCTCTCCTATGAATACTAAGCTCTCACTTGAACAAAGTGTTCATAGAAGTTTTTAGTGAATTTATGCGGCCTACTGAACTAATGAGTCTAAGCCTCTATTTAAAGTGGTAAAACTTGGCCAAAACCCTCATAAACCTACTAAGAAAAGGTTTCTTTGAATCAGGGCCGAAGCAAGGCCTAAAGATATTCTATTTGGGCTTGAACCTTCTTGGCAGCGGTTGGGCGGCGCTTGGCATTGGCACCAATTTTCTTCTTGGGATAGACTTCTTATCCCATGGACGACCTCTCCTAAAGATTTGATCATGATTTGTCCAGGACTCCATCGAAGGCGGTTGGAACCATTGTCGATCCACGGTTTGTTCTTGCTTATGTTTGGATCGAGTCTTCCTCCAATGGGCTTCTCTTGGGCTCTACTTGTGGTTACTAGTAGGCTTCTCCGTCATTAGATCTCGTCTTTATCATGAAAGCTACATATTATTCTCTTCGTCGCTCTTTTGGTCCTGCAGAGTTGTCCAAAACTTTATCCAAATCTTCCTAAGTTGCTTTATACCTTGAAAACCATTAAAAAGCATATCAAGAAGGCATCAAATAGTATAAAAAACACAATCTAGGCCTATTAAAGGTTCATTGATAAAATAGTTATGAAATACAGGAGAAAGTACTAAAGATGCGTTGATAGAAGGAGAAAATGTATCAAATATGATAGTGATAAACAATCTAAATAGAGTGACAACGGGTGCCAAAAAGATAGTTGTTTTCGCGCTAACAGATTTTGAACCTTTGGGTTTTGGAGTTCCTCTGGATGCAGAGTAACCCCTCCTTAAAAAAAAATTCTTCCTATTTAGAAGCCAATAAGTATATTTATAAGCTTGAAAATTAAATTTTTCCAAAGGTTTTTTAAGAGAAAACTTTTGAAATCTTAATCTTTCAATATTGTCACTTGCTTCGAGTCCGGAGGTCTTGAAGTCCAATGCTCGTACATGATAATTATTTGTGATACCTTGGCCTCAAAAATATCTTAATACTACCCAAAACGTTTAAAATGTAAAAACACTCATAGAGGACACAATCATACATTTAAGTACATATCAAGCAAATCCAATTCAAAATGACTAAATATGTGCTAAAATCGTGTAAAACTTGTCATAGAATGAGGTATAAAAAAACTATATTTAAATCTTTCATTCTCTCTTATCTTTTTTTTTTAAATCATTTCAAGTCTGTTCAATCCCTGATGGCAGCCGTCAATGATGGGTCCTCGTCGAGCGTTGTTGGCGACAGTCATTCTTGGTATTCTCTCTTTGGAGCCGAGGAGGACAAAAGTTTGGAGTATTTTAAGCCGGAACTTATCAATAGATTGATGCGAATCTCCATATTCGTTATGGAAGCAGGAGCAAAGTATTTGGAGCACAGCTCATGAGTCCTTTTTTTAGTGGTTCTCCGTCTCTTGCCACGATCCGATCTTATGAAAATTGGCTATGGGGACAAGAGGGGGAGCTGAAGCTCTCTTGGTTTGAAGATCACTTTGTAATATTTTAGTTTCCTTCGGAGCCTGTGGCTCGCTGGGTGTTTAAAGGAGGTCTTTGGCACTATTGTAACAAAATGTTATGCTTACCAAAGTGGGTGTCGGGTATCCAAGCCCTAAAGATCAACAACTGAACTATCCCAATTTGGGTGAAACTCTCTAGTTTTCAAGTTGAATTGTCATCAAAGAAGGGTTTGGGTCATGTTGTCAATCTAATTGACAAGTCTTTTGTATGTATTAACCAACGAGATTTGGAAACAAGGTGGGATCAGTGAAAATATGTGTGGAGGTAAGCGCCAAAATATAGAAGGTAGATTGAATCAGTACTACCCTTGATGGCCTGAATGATATTTTTATCTTAGTAGAATACTGTCATGCCCCTAGTTGTTTGTCATTCTTATTGTGTCTTTGGGCATGATTGTGCTTTACCAATTGAGGGAAAAACAAATAGAGCCTGGAAAAGAAAGATGTCAAGAAGGTGGATATATGTAGTAGTTCAGGTGTTAAGGATCAAGATGATCTAAAGCAAGCTATGAGACAGAGTATTCGGATTAATTCAGAACAAGTGGAGATTCCTCTAGTCACTCCTAGTGCAATGCCTTCCCATAAGTTTAACATTGTGCAAAGAGTATTCCTCTGTTCGGTTAAAAGGTCCACCCGTCAGGACTGGGCGTGAGGGTTTGACCACTTTTACATGAAATCCAAACCAAACCATATTATATCCAATCTTATTTGGTTGAACCAAAATATCAATTTACGTAAACCTCTGTTGTGTAAACCGAACCGTTGTAAAAAAACCGCAGTTCAGATTCCCTAAGGAGCGATTGGAGGGGTCCACCACGGCTACAGCCGCTGATGGAGGCGAGATTCAGAAGACAGAAAATATGGCGGGCGGGATTGACTTCAGCGGTGGATGCGCTCTCGCACGATGGCTCACGGTGGTGATGGATTGGAGGCCACTGTTTCCGGGCGATCACGTGGGTTCAGCGGCAGGAGGCGTGACAGTTGCGGGCGATCGGACGGTTGGCGTCCGTTCCCACCCGGACCGAGGCTGTTACCACCAGGTTCTTATGGAACTCTGTTGTGAAGGCAGCCACCAAAGCATGTCTCCAGACGTTTCCAAGCCCGACTTAGTTGTCTCCATAGCAATAAGGTTCAGTTCAGGATATTCTACCTCTTCAAGGGTGACCCAATCAGTTATTGTAGCAGATATGAAGCCTTATTTTGACTGAACGGTTTCTTTGATTTCCCTCTCTCCGGTAACCTTCCAGTTCATGTTAATTCAGCGAATTTGGCCTAGCTTTCCTTGAGGCATTTACATACTACTTTGTTATTACCGCCAGTGGCTTATGGACCTGATTGAATCCTTTTTCAGGAAGATATTCAGTGCCATCGAGTGGCGATACTTCGTTTATTCGTTTTGCAGGCCTCACCAATGGCGGAGCTGATGATATATCGACACAAGGGATGGCAATTTGACGGACTAGTGTATAGCAACGGCGATTCCGTTCCCTCTTCGTGATTTCAATTCCCCCATCCAAACTCCGGTGGTAGTTACAAATTTGGAGCCTTCAGTCCTAAATGTAGATCGCTTCGGACGGTTACAAGTTTAGGACTTTTATTTCTTACTCACTAATATATTTAATTATACACTTGTGTTTGGTATTTTTGCTGGGTGTTGCATTGCAGGTTTTGTATTTGACATAAATCGACTTATAGAAGGTTCTTCAAGAAATTTTCTTTTACGTTGATTTTTTTTTTTATGTTTCTAGATATATTAACAGGGCTGCCCATTGCGTGGCACAAACGGCCCTTGCATCGGTAGCAACCCATTTTGTTGGCTATCACTCTTTCATTTTCGCCGCATTGTAACACCCTATCTATTACGATAGGTGAAACCGAACCGTTGCCAGCTGAGACCGAACATTTCAGTTGGTTTTATCTTCTCATTTATACGAGTCCATGCTCAAACATCCCACTGAGCTTAGCGTCGGATTCAAGAATTGAACTTTTAACAAGGAATGAGGCCCAGTGAGCCCATAAATGAGAAGGAGAAGATATAGAACGGGCCCAATGTTAGTTATAAGAACGCATGGCCTATCCTGAAAAATTCTTTTCAATCTTACCGGAAGAGAACGACATCCACAAGACACAGCCACGCCTAGCGAGACCTCTTATCCTCGAAGCCAACCCATCCCCTCTCGACAGCCATTGGAACTAGGCAACCAAAGCGAGAATCCCTCCAATAGAATACAATACTAGAAAAAGGCAAGGAGGAACAAGAAGCATCCATGTCGGTCTCCTCCCTATTCGGCTCTCCACTGCTGCTCCTACCCAAATCATCCTCCCCTTCAACATCCTCCTTCAAACCCTTCAATGGCGGAGCAACACGACTGACTCCGGCTCCCGGCGGCGGCGGGTTGGTGATCGAATCCTCTTCGCGGCCGACGAAGAAAGCGACGGCTCATCATATGAAGACGAGGCCGAGGAAGAGTCAGCCGTGGGATATCAGGCGAAAGCCCACCGTTTACGCGCCACTTCCGGAGCTTCCTCCTGACTGGACTCTGGTTTCCGCCGCGGAATCCCCCGCCGATGGCGGTGATGCTGATGGCGGTACTGCCGTTGAGGCTCCTTTGCTTTCTGCTCCTTAGTTACAGGGATCAGTTTCAAGTTGGTGGTTCCTTCTTCGTGCTGTTGTCTTGCGTTTTGATTGTAACTCGGATGCTCTGTTTGCTGCTCTGCCTTTATGTACTCTTGTTTTCCGTCCCTTGATTACATTGGAAATGTCGCACTCGTTTTCCGCTTCTGACCATGGTATGATGGTAATGGAGTTTACTGCACCATCGAACACTAACTGGTAGAAGGATTAGGCAATGTGGCATGCCAACTGTTCGACGTTTTGCCTCTTTAGAAACAACAATGAGGGTAAGGAGAACGACAAGGGAAAGCAAGTAGACTACCATTTGTTTGCGGTAGGTAGTAAGCTAAAACTGAAATAGATTGCTAGAACAAGGCAAAAGAATGAAGAACATAAACGTAATGAATCCTTTTCCAGTGAAGTGAGGAGAGAGTTCATATTATTCTACCATGGAATAGGAAGAAAAGAATGTACATGGAACTTGATAAAAATTAGACATGAAAGGCTTATTCTAAGGAACCCGTGGGGGAATAGGTCAGGCGAACACCAAACAAACGCCTATACAAGAGATCTACGAAGCTGGCTGGTAACTTCTTTTGATTCACCAATGCCTCATAGCAGAGCTTTGCACAAACACCAAACCCGACTGTCGACTACGTGAAGGAAGATAGTGAATTGATGCTGAACCCTTTCTTGCTGTGCTGCGGCAGCAATCAACTGGTCCATAATTTACAGAGAGCTGGAAGGGTTTGGATCATTCCTCCTTGTGCATGGGTTTGAAATGACTGGTCTCGCCTTCAAGCTGCTGCACAAGAGCAATTAGGACAGCGAACTAAAAAGCTGATGCATCGGCCTTCTTCTTCGGCTTGCAAGTTCTCGAGTCCCATTCTTCTCTTTCGCCGCAGTGTCACACAACTGTTTTCTTCTTTTTTTTTCTTTTTCTTCTTTTTTTTTTGGGGGGGAGGGGAGAAAGGACGCGACGTTCATTGGTAAGGTCTCTTCTTGTATTTACTCTGAGCAAGGCCTAAAAGGAAATCTGTAAATATGTGCTCGTATTCCGGCACTTTCCCATAACCTGCAGTGTCGAGGACACACAGAGGTAAGCAATTACTTATAGATCTTTGAGACAGGTCTAAGTCATGGCTGTACAAGCTACCAAAACAGAAAATCAGACATTACCTGGGAAGTAGTTAATGTCGATGACATAGAACTGGTCTCCAGTTCCATGCTCCCGTATTATATCCAAATTGAAAAGCCTAAGTCCCTGAAATAGTATAAGCACAGCATTAATCAACGTGTGAAACAAGTCGATGGAATTGACATACAAGCTAGGAAGAAAAGCTGCAAATCTGTACATAACAATTACCAGTCGACGACGAAGTTCCTTTCCAAGTTTCTCAAGCAAAGGTCGCGGTGGAAGCTCTGTCAGGATTGGAGTATATTAAGAGAGATTTGTCAGAAACACAGCATGGTTTGTTGATTGAGCTGTCATCTAGTAGTATCATACTGGAGCAAAACAACTCACCAGCAATAACAGGATCTAGATCGGCCTCATCAGCAGAAGCTGCAGCACAGGAAACACGAGGAAACCGGCAAACACCAGCATTGTTGGCAAGCTCTCTTTTACAGACATCGGGCAAAGAGAACCGCCTTACAACCTTTATGGCTTCCCCAACAATGTAGACTTTGAAAAGTACGCCTCCTACAATTATATATAGACAATAGGCTAGATTATAATCATGATCACAAACCACAATGATCATAACAACATAAGTTTAACATAATCTTACCATGGTTAATGAACTCCTGAAGAACTAGTGGAGGTTCAAGCTTCCGAAGCGAGTACTGATCATAAGCAAGGGATAATTCATGTGATTTTGCACTCCCATCAGCAACCAATGGTTTTGCAACTGGAGCAAATATCACTAAAATTAGTTTTCTAAGGCCGCAAAGTTGGTACGAAAGAGAGAACACATGAAACAAAATGCAGAGACATACCTAACGGAAGCGTTAGGCCAGCTTTTGTAACTGCATCAGGAATAGATGAGGCATCCTTCTTAATAACCAATTGCCTTGGAACATCAACTTTTCCTAAAGCGGCAAGATACAACACAAACTCACGGTAAGATTGTGTCAATCTCACAACCATGAGTTAAACAATTTACATGGAAATCAATCCAATATTAAAAAAATGACTTTAGTAAAGCAGACAGACCATAGGAAGTGGATAAATTCATGTCTGCAACACACTGAAGCATGGACTGGCGGTTGTGCAAATGTTGTATCGCATCAGGAGGATCAAGAACTGTTACTTCTGGATGTGTTTTTCTGTAGTCCTGAAAAAAGAAAGCCAGTGTGGAGTGTAAGGGACAAAAGTGCAGCACATTTACTTGAGAAAATTCCCTCAAATCAAATCCTCAAGATAGTTAATCATTAATCAAAAGGGGCTTAGAAAAACAAAACATGTCGAGAACATACTGTTACATCAAGAACAATCACAATTTTTGGAACAAGAAACCGACAAAGTGGAGCTGAATCATGCTACTAATATGCCGTAGTGGTTGGCATCATGAAGCAATTTCTGCCACTAGCACCAGCACCTAGATTAGTAATTTCTTATGGTTTACATTGTCGTGCCACAGGAGAAAAAACAGTGCTGTTGTCATAGAAATCTTCCTTGCTCGCATGGATATCCTCATTAAAATACGAAGCTATAAATCTTCAGGTGGTTCAAGAAACCAAAACGGCCAGTTTCAAGCATCAACAAAAAAAAAACAATTAAAAAGTGGCCTAAATGGGGAAGAAATTCTCCCAACCCCACACCGCAGAGAATAAACTACAAATCTCTGAAGAATACCTAAGCATATCACCCACCAATATCATCTGGACCATGACAAGAGTACAGACACAGGGATCTTTTAGCATACACGAGGTCAGAAGAGAAAACTTTGTCATACCAAAAAATGAGAATATCATACCAATACACAAGCAATCATCCTCATTAACACAGATCCACCCGCCAGAGTTTTTTTATAGGACTCGTCCACTAAAACTGAAGTTCCAAGTTCTCCAAACCACATCTTAGTCACTTAGATGCAAATAGATGTGTTTCCCAGATGTCAAGAGGCCAAGTACATTCTGATCGAATTAACAAGCAAAAAGGGCATTTTATGTATCCAAAATTGACCTCGATGAAGTTGAATAAGTGGGCAATATACAGGCAAAAATCTTCATTTAAACTTCGGTTTACGCCTTGAACTAACAAATATGAGATGGCTAGCTTAACTGTGGGCTAAGCTCAGGGCCACATTTCTTACGAAAAAGACAATTTGTCAGGTTGAGGCCAGATAGCTCCAACATCGCGTACTAGACTAGCTTTAGTGGGCTGCGCTTAGCACCAACATTTCATATCACATGACACTTAGTCAGGTGAAGTCAGATAGCTCAACAAAATATCTTGTGGAAACCTAAGATATTTAGTGATCATTTAGGCAATCACTCACCCACAGCAATTACTATAAATGACATCTGGCAACATCTCAGAACAAGGATAAAAACAAAAGGAATCCTGCCAACTTCTAAAAAGGAGATAGCACAGTAAGCAGATAAATGAATCAAAATATGCTTACGAAAACCTGAAAGAATCAGATAAATGACCATGGAAGTAGAAAAATCCACACTTGCTGGCCTCGCTCTCAACTATCAAATTCATGATGCATGGAGGAAAGGCTAGTATTCTGCAATTTTTGTCAGACATATATAAGAGATGCAAGCATTTAAAACTGCTAGTTGATGCAACAGTTTACAGAACAAGGAACGGTGAAGTGATAGTTGACTCCAATACTAACATAGATATTGCAAGTAACTAAGCAGACACTAAATAATCTATTCTCTACCCACTAATGCTCAAAGGAGAAGAGCAAGAAAGAAAGACGCACCTCAAGAATCTGGCGCCATTCCTTCCCAGTAAGCTGCAATAAGAATTACAATCGGAACGTGTGAGCCCTCCACAAAATAAGGCTACCCATGAAACAGAATTAATGTGAAGAACCGTGTAGAAATTAAAATCTAACCTTGTGCAGCACAATGTCAAACGGTCCCTGATCTGAAAGTGGCCTGCTTTGATCAATTGCAACAAACAAGATCCCTTTGTTCCTGAACCATTCCAAACATTGCAGAGGTTCAGCAAGACATGGACAAAAAGGCTACCAAATAAAGATAAACCATACGCTCTGATAGTAACCATCACAGTTGTATCATTGATATACATGCCATTTGACTATATATGCCAGTTCAATGGTCGAGTTCATGTCGCTTTAAGGCTAAGACCGTATGTCAATGGAGAGATCTCCATAATTCAAAACAGAAGATCAAACTTGCCTAAACTAAAAACCAATTTTCCTACAGCAGGGAGTCAAAGTCCACTGCATATAATAATTTACAACATTAGCATAGAAGTCCTGACTTGGAAGTAAACAGTCCTACACAGAAAGCAATAATAAAAAGGATTTACAGGGAAGTGAAGGAGGTTGTTGAGTGCCCATTTCCCTTTGATTTCAATTTCATTTCACTTTCATTTTCTCACCCACCAAACGACAAAGACAGGTAAATACCAGAATATTCCAGTACCAGTAGCTCTAGACACCAAAAGAATCCACCAGGAGAGAGAGACAAATGAAAGAAAAGAAAAGATCTGAGCAAAACGTTAGAACAGACTCTCCCCACGAATCTAAGCCACAGCCGCAACGAGCGACGGTAATTCCAAACTGCCGAAACGTTCAACAAACGCGAAAATACAAAAGCAACCGTTCTCAGCTTCCTTCTTTTTTGCTCGGGCGATAATCGAGAACAGTAGCAATCCAGAATTACAGAAAGCAAAATCGGGAAATGTAATCAGAGAGATATATGATGAATGGCAATTATTATTCCAGATTATCGCATAGGGATTTATTTGAAAATTTACCTAGCTAAACCTTCGAGCTTAGGCTGCAAAAAGCTCTTAATCTTTTTGGAGGTAAGGGCGTAACCGACAATAACGTGTTTCCTCTGAAGAGGAAATCCAATCCCTAGCGCAGCGGAGACGTCCATCACCGTGTCTTCCACTTCCTCCTTGTCGTTGTACGGTCCTCCGCCGCCGCCTCCGTTCACATACGGAACAATCTCCTCCTGCAACCCCATCGTCGATCCGTAAAACCTAATTTTCGTCAAGGAAACTTTCTTTCACCGTCGGAAAGGAGAAGATAAAATCGAGGGTGGCGAGAAAAATGGCGATTCAGGATACGGTCCTGGTCCCCCTGAGAGGAAGCTAAGAAGGAACGCAAAAGAGACTGAGAAAGAGCGGAGCAAGGGACGGGGGTGAGGTGTGATTGATGGCTCAGCGAGTCAGGAAAGAGCGAGTGACTCGGAAGGTTGAGAGAGAGAAGCGAGAACAGAGGGGAAAACAGAATAGAGAGAGCAGGAAACGGAAAGGACAGAACGAGAACGAAGGCAGGGTGAAGAAGAAGAAGAAGAAGGATGAACGGGGGATATGGAGATCGGGCGAGAAGATGTGACCACGGGATTTTGTAATTTTTTCTTTTCTGATTTTGTGTTTTTTTTCGAAGACACACCAGAAAGATGGAGCCAGTTGTGCGATTTATATAGCGGTGATAGCTTTTATTTTATTTTCTATTTCGATTTAATTTTTGTATATTCAGAAATTGACGCGTATGGATTTGTCCTCTTTTTTTTTAATATAAAATTTCTTTGTATTTTGTATGTTTATGACATAACATAGGCTATGTTTGGTAGGGCTGGTAATTTAGTACGAATTTTCCGGTCAAATTGAAAACTGGAATATATCTACCGGTAAGCATCCATCAATAACCAAATCTAGACCCTTCATTTAGAAAATTCAGATATAAGGATGAAAAATTAAGGACCATTTTTATGTTTTCTAGCTTTCTTAATCGGCTCATATCTTTTTCGTTTTAACTCGGATTTTAATTTTTTTGCACAGATGGAACGAGTTCATCGTGCTCTATCAAATGAGAACAATTTTCAATATTTTTTTAGAAAAAAAAAATTCTGGCCACTCGATACCAACTGCATACCATATGGTATGTTCTTCGTTTTTAATTCGTTTTTGAAAACGTTTGCACAGAAGGGACGAGTTCATCATAATCTATTGGATCTACAAATTTCTGGGTGAACAAATTACAGGACCAAAAAATACCACATAATATCATACAATACCACCCTGGTACGGGGTGGTATTGTATGGTATCTTCTTCGTTTTTAATTCGTTTTTGAAAACGTTTGCACAGAAGGGACGAGTTCATCATGATCTATTGGATCTACAAATTTCTAGGTGAACAAATTACATGACCAAAAAATACCATACAATACCACCCTGGTACGGGGTGGTATTGTGTGGTATACAATGTTAAAAGTCGTAAATGACAATTAATATACTTCTACTATCATGTATTCAACCATCCTACAGTCTTGGTTTGTTCATACCACCATGGTACGTTTTTCAAACTATAGGTATGCTTTTATTTCAATACCAGTCAATACCATATGGTATAGACTGGTAAAAAATGGCTCAATTTTTTTTGTTCGAAAAATATATTAAAGTGGATATCATTTTGAAAAGCACAATTAATCTGATCTAACTGTGCAAAAAAAAATTGAATTTCGACTTAAAATGAGTGAGAAATCGTCCGTCAAAGATTAAAGAGGGGAAAATTAAAGGCTTTCCAGGAGAGAGAGGATGCTGATGTCATGCTGATGTGGGCTGGTTACTCATGGTTACTCACCATAAGGTTACTGACCTGATCCGTTCCCGTCGGGTAGTAACCACTAACCACATATCAAATTAGTCCAATCAATTTGATTTTTGATTGGAGCAAAGTGTAAACTATATTAGGGGTGAACAAAACACACCCGCAAACCGATTCATCCGTCCAACCCGACCCGTATTTATTGCTAAAATTAAGGTTTTGGGTTGGGTGAGCGTTTTCTTTTGTATAACCTGCCACTTTTGGGTTGGGTTTGGATTTTGGATTACACAACCCGTCGAACCCGATCCAACCCGTGTTCCAACTATTAGTATGAGTTCGTGTATAAAAAATATTTATGTCGTATATAGCCATACTTATAAGAAAATTAAGATATTTTGCCATGTTTTTTCTCCCATGGTCTCCCTAATCTAATGCATTCATCGACTTAAAATTTAGACATAGATTTAATATAGCTATGATTCACATAATCCTTTTTCTTGTGTACAATTATAATAGAATAACATATTATGGATGCGTTTGTTTATAACCTATTTAGCCTATTTAAACAAATATTGTGAAAAAAACTAGACATATGTTGAATTAAATTATCTTTTATTAAAATTCAAACAACATTTGTGAATTTCGATACCTTTCACCTTGGTTTATTCATTTGAAATTTTAATTAGTTATAAAAATATTTTTATAGTGTAGAATAATTACATATTTTGTGTTGGGTTGGGTTTTTACTTAAAATTATTGCCAACCCGACCCAACCCAATTGAAAACAAACTGTAGGGTTTTAAATTTTTTTGGTTGGGTTTGGATTTAATATTTTCCAAACCGTAGTGCATGGGTCGGGCGATTAAAATAGCTAAACCCGGACCACCCGACCCATATACACCCCTAAACTATATCAGTATAATCCAGTTAAAACTAGAAAATCTGAACAAGATGGTTAGCATGGGGATGGGGAGCCTGTATTTCTGTCTCAGTGCGTGTTGATACCGTTATTATCATTCATTTTTCTTTTCACTGAATACGACCAACCACCACGTCATCCTCACTGCTTCTGCCCTAACTTTACAGCAAAGGAGATAAATTTTTATTTTTTTTAATGTATTTTGAGTGTCAGTGATGTTTTGGGAAGAGAATTGTGTCTTTCCGTGTTATAGTTTAAAATAGGATCAGAAGAAAAACCAGGTAAAACTGGTCATGTTAAACTGGACTATTTTCGCCCCTAAGGTTTGGCGCGAATTTTAGAAGTGTTTGATGCTTCAAAGTTCAAAAATATGAAGTCGAGCCAAACACCTCTAATAGTTCGGATTTGAAAAAACTGAAATGTGTCTTTTTAATATAAAAGTAGAAGCTTCTACAAAAAAAAACATGTTTTATACGAAAACTTATTTTGAAAATACAAAATTATACTACCATTTTTTAATTTTTTACAGAAAACATATTTTTAATTTATTTATATCATTAAAAAATATACAAAATTATAATATTTATATTAAATAAATATAAAAATATTCATATTAACTACTTCTTAACATTTTTTAATTATTTATTTGTATTTTATATTATAAATCATTTTCAATCATTTTATATAATTTATTCTATTAAAAATTGCTTATACTAGTTATTCAACCAAACATTCAACTAATTTTTTAATACTTCTCTACAGGTTCAGTCAAAAGTTGCTTTTGCAAATACTATAACAATGCCAAACTAGCTCTAGGTTTAAAATTTTCAGTATAAAACTTTTATATTTGAGAACTACATTATACAACTTTTATATTTGTAGAACTACAAAATTTAATATGGATGGTTATTGTCGGAGACAAAATTTGACATTGCGGTTTGCTGATAAGTAAAGAGGAAAAGGAAAAATATGGCTTTTTGGGATAGATTGCCGAATTCTTAGAGGTAGTGCGGATCTCGAGGACCTCCAGGTAAAAGTCAATGAACCTTTTAAATTTTCAATGAATCTTCCACAAACGATATCTCACTTTTTTACATCATATTTAAAAAAGTTGTATAAAAAATAATTTTGTACTATGCAAGATGATATCCATTTTGATTTTTTATAAAAAAACTTCAGTCATCTTACCACCACTTGTGAATCTAGGGGTGGACCACCCCGGGCCACGACCCAGCCTTCTTTAGGTTTAGAGCTAGTATAGTACGTATGAATTTTTTTCATTTTAGGTATTCGGTCCAGTGCTGTTTAAAATTCGGGTCAATGTTATTTGATAATAAGATTTTGTGTAACTAGGAAAATGGTCCAAATAAACATATCCAAACCACTGCTATAAATTTAGCCTAAAAAGCCCCAATGACTATCATTTGAAAAAATAAAAAAAACAATGAATTTAAAAAGTCTTACATGTAAAAGACTAAAAGTATAAAGTATCATTGAAATAAAAAAAAATCACTAAACTAAACCCCACCCCTCATCGTAAGAACTCAAAAAATTCCTCCAACCCCCCAAAGAACAAAATAAGAACGAGGAGACGAACATACTCTAAACGGATTCCTCTGAGTTCATCGAGCGTTGGTTTTCGTTGCATTATATTGAGAAAAAAATATTTATAAACTTATTGAGTCATCATTTAGATTGCTTCAGTTGAGTAGTGTGCTAAATCCTAAAAATCCGGTCTTTTTATGAAGAAAATATTTACAAACTTGTTCAAGAGTTTATCCTCAAGACTTTGAAGGCTATTAGATGCATTCTTTGAAGAATGAACTATAATATTATGCCGCTCATGCAGTTCATAGTCAGGAATATGAAGTTTCTTCCCTTGCAAAATTATTAGAGAAGTTGGTGGAAATAGGGATAAACAGACAATAGAAATTGACTTGTACGTTGATTTGTCTAGTGTTGACCTAACTCGTTTCAACGTCTACTACGAAGAGAACATTTTCAACAATGAAACATATGAAAACTTATTTGAGCAACAAAATGAGCAATGAATTTCTTACTGATTGCTTAACTATTATCTTAGAGAGAGTATATTATTGCTATGGATGAAGACTCAATTATTAATGAATTTGCTAAATTAAAAGACCGTCACATACAATTGACATTATAATGAAACTATAATAATCATATATTTTTGTTTACAGTATCTAATTTTCTATTCAAATGCGACTCAGTGCTCTACCATGTTCTGGATCCGTCGTTGCTTACCGCTATAATATCATAATATTACCACAATGATATGGTGGTGTTGTCAGTCTTATTATAATGGTCAGATCATGGTACAATATTGATAAGATGAGATTATGGAATCTCGTCAGTGTGGTATGATGTTGGTATGAAAATAAAGGGATAATATGAAATCTTATCTTTGAGCAAAAATTTAAATGTTATCATATCACTATCATAATTATCATATTATCATAGTGATATTACCA